TAAATTTTCACCCAAATCACAATTAAAAAAAAAAAGGAAAGAAAAGTCATGGCTTTAAAAGAAAAAAAAAGGTTTATACAGGGAAGGAAACTTTCTTTGTTGGTTACCAGGAATGGGAGGGGAGGGGAGAGGAGGGAAAATTCCTAGATAGGTTGGGGTGTGTGTGTGTGAGGTCATATCTAATCATGTCATGATCCTCAACATCTTCCCTTCTCCTACCCACAACCTTCTGTCTTTGTTCCTTTGCTGATATTATTCTACCAACTCACAATGCCCATTCTCTTCTTCTTTGCCTGTTACTATTTAAAGTCTAACTAGAGGTCTGTCTATCCACCTCTCTGATTCTGAGCTCAGATTGACTCTTCTGTTTTCTGAATTCCTACACCACCATTCAAATTATATATGCATGTTGATTATCTTCTATTATTATGTGTGGATATCCATTGTCTCCCTGAATAGATTATGAACTACTCAACTATAAACTACTCCTGCAGAAACAGTGGCTTACACTTTTACGTCTATCTACATCAGTGAGTGCTTCCCAAAGCTCACAAACCATTAGAATCCCCTGGGGAGATTTTACAAAATATAGATTCTGACTCAGGAGCCAGGGTTGAGAACTATTGTCCTATAATACCTGCCTACTGATTGGCATGCAGTAAGCATTTTGAGATGCTATTGACAGTATGTCAGAGAATAATTTAAAAGCATAGTATCCCCTAAGATTACTATAAAAACACTTGGAAAATTATTGTAACCCTTTTTATGTGATAAATTAGATGGCTTCACCATTTTTTATTTTGCCTGTTTAATTTAATTCAATGGGTATGACATAATCATTCATTGCATTTTAGAGACATGACAACTATATTTTTGGTTTTCTAGTTTTTGCATTAGTTGCTACTGTGCAATTTTCACTGAAGGAGTTGTCCTGAGGATAAAAGTATACCGTCAGGTGTATAATTCCTAGCACTTAGAAAGCACGCCTATTTATTAAATGTGCACATTAAACACATATGTTCTTTTCTATAGAACATTCAGTTGATGAAGACTTTTTCTGCTTCTCTGATTTTCTCTTTGAGGAGTATGGTAGGTTTTTCTTGACTGATTGAAGTGTTGAGCTATAATGGATACAACTGTACTCAAGTACTCCATTAATGGTAAACAAAGTGATGTACACCGACTTTATTGAACAAAACATCAAATAGAACATGACATTTTGGGAAAATTCTTTTAATTATAGATTTGAATATTTTCTTTGTGTCCTTTGGAGGACAGTGACTTGTGGGATAAAGTTGACAGTGATGCCAGTGACTTTGAGGCCTGCTGGCTTGGTTTTTGGTCTTCTGCAGCCTCTGGCGGCCCCCCAGTGGCCTCTTTGGATATCTCAATAGCAGAAGCCAAAGAGGCCTTGTAAACAGAAATGACTGGAAACCCCAGAAGATCTTGCAGGAATTCTTTGAAGTCAGAGACAACTCCTGCTTCCCAAAGCAGAGGATGCCTTACTCCAGTGCAAAAGGAAAAAGGCATTTTTTGTGTGTCTTCATAGTCTGATCTTCTAGGAAGTCAAATGCTCCAAGTGCTTTGGCCAACGCTAATTATTTCAAGTAACAGCCAGGGCACAGAAACATTGTTTCTCAAAAGTCCACGCAGAAACATTGTCTCCTGGCTTCTGCTGCTTGTATTGGAGGCAGAGGAGAGATGGAGCAGGAAGGAGTGGTGGAGAGTATGGGATTGTGGTAAAATCCTGCCCTGGTGCTGAGCCAGTCTAAAGGAAATTCCATGTCCTTTATTCACAGGTAGTTACAGAAAACTATAGCAAATGCCCTACAGTTGAAGTCAAGTCTAGCAGGAAGTTTGGTACTCAAAATCAGGATCCCGAGGAGTTTGAATGAGATGGTCAGGAGAAGGATAAATCTCTGAAAATGAGACCAATATATATATATATATATATATATATATTATTATTTTTTTTTTAAAAAGAAAAGGAAGAAAGGGAGGGAATGAGGGAAGAAGGGAAGAAGGACAGACATTTAACACTACTGAGTTTTTGTAATAATCTGAAGGGACACTGTGCATTTAAAAAGGATTCTCTGATATACTGTTAATAGCATCTCTCTGACTGCTCACTACTTTCCAATCACTGGACAGATGTTGTACGATAATGGCTCTCAACTCTGACTCTGAAGTCAGAATCTGTGTTTTGTAAAAGATGGGAAGGAAGGAAGGAAGGCCTGCCTCATCATTTCCACCCCCTGAATGTGGTCTCCTGGTGATGCAAATGGTTCATATGCTCAGCTGCTAACTGAAAGGTTGGAGGTTTCAGTTCATCTTGAGGTATCTCAGAAGAAAGGCCTGATGATCTACTCCAAACAATCAGCCGTTGGAAACTCTATAGAGCACAGTTGTACTCTGACACACATGGGGTTGCCATGAATTAGAGTCAACTAGAGACTCAATTTAATCGTCTCCAGAATCCATACATTCTGTCATCCAGGATGGTTTTTTTAGGAAACTCAACTGCTCAGTGAGCTTTTTGGGAGAGGGATGGTGTCACATTATTATTATTATTATTATTTTCCAGCAAGTTACATAGAGAGTTGGCTCCATTAACATTTGTTAACATTTTACAGCAGTCATGACTTCTGCTTCTAAAGCAGAAGTATCATAGTGGATTACCACCTAGCAGCCACTAATGGGAACATTATACACCCAGAAATAAGTTATGTCTTGTTAGAATATGTCTATTCTAATAGAAATGAGAATTCTCATATGACTTTACTTTTTATTGTCCCTGTACTGCCATACATTTACCCTACTGCCAACACAATTTCCTTCATGGTCTGGTAATTTAATACATGCATAAAATTTAATACCAAAAACACCAGTTGCTATCAAGTCGATTCAGACTCATGGAGAAGAATATAGTAGATGGTGTCCTACTAACTGACTGCACCAGATCTCTCTTTCAATAGAGATTTTGAGAAACCAAATGAAACAGATATAAATAATTAACCTGGAATTGGTGGTGTAGTGCCTAAGGCATTTGACTGCTAACCAGAAGGCTGGTGATTCAAACCCACCAGCCACTCCTTGGAAAGAAGATTGGGCAATCTATTTCCATAGAGATACTCCCTCAGAAACCCAGGGAGAGGTTGCTATGAGTTGAGATTGAGTTGATAGCAGTGAGTTTTGGTTTTGGTTTGGTAATGAGAAGATAAAGTATGAGACTGAGTGAAGATAGGAAAGGGAGCTAGTTCAGTGACAAGGGGTGGTGGGGGAAGCTGGCTGGGGTTTCAGAACTTGTGGATCTTTGCAGAGGAGGGCTGTCCTTTCTCGTGGATCTTTGCAGAGGAGGTGGCTGGTAGTTTTGAATTGCAGGGCTTTGATAACCAAACACCACCATCAGCAAACAGCTCCAAACAGACCCAGGGGCTGCAGCTGTCCTTGTCCCACACCTGCATCACTGTCTGATCTATCTCATATTAAGCACAAAAAAGAATCTTTAGCCTTCTCTCTTGGAGGTGACTTCTTGTGCCACTCTCCTTTCTCCTGTGTAGGTACATACTCTGGTGAATGAGCAGATTCTGTCACAACTCCCAGCTCCCAGGGCTGCTGGCTGAACATAACTAGAAAAATCTCTCCTCAATTACTGTATCGTCCCTTCATTTTTCTATGTTCATCTTTCTCAGTTTTTTTTCCTTTCTATCTGATCATTTACCCCTCTACCTCTTCATCTTCTTTCACTTTTACCAAACCTTTATTCCTCTTACCCCCATACTTTTGTTTTCTCTTTTCTTCTGATATTCTTTTTCTTTTCCCCTATTTCTTATCACATATTTTTCTTCTATCTTTTCATCTCTCCTTCTTCTCCTTGGCTTTCTCTTTTTTCTCTCTTTATTTTCCTGCCTCATCTAATGGGATGAGCGCATTAACTCTCCACTAGTCAGCCATATCTACTACACTGACCACCTCACCCAATAGATGAGTAATACCACAGGATCTAGGACAGACAGTGGTAATATCTACTCATTCCAATTGCAACTCCTTTTCACAACAAACAGATACTTGCAGCCACATTCCCACAGTTACTCTACCAACATAAAGAAAGCTGGAGAGTGACCCAGTACAGCCAAGCTAACAACCAAAGAAATATACCTGCTCCACACTTCCAGAGATACTAAAACAAAGTAAAACATAAAACCAGGGTGAAACAAATCAGCACATAACCAACAAATAAAGACAACAACTTCAAAATGTCTAGGAGACAACACACAACTTCAACTCAACCAAAAAAATCAGGACAAGAGAGTAGAAACAAGTGTTCAAACTAAAGAATTAGGAAATCTCCCTGAGGAAGAACAAGTAATAGAACTCTCTGATAAGGAATTCAAAAGATATACATAGATAGGATCTTCCAAGAGCTCAAGGAAACCATAAACAGAAGCAAGGAGAAGACAGACAATAACCTGGAAGATTCAGGAAAATTATTCAAGAGCAACATGATAAAATAAATACACAATAGTCATACAAGAACAGCAATTAGAAATCCAGAAGATGAACACTAAAATTATAGAGACAGATAAAACATTGGAAGGACAAAACAGTAGACTCAAACTGGGTGAAGAACACATTTCCCAGCTAGAAGACAAATCCCTTCACACCAGCTTGTATGAGGAAAAGTCAGAACAAAGAATTAAGAGAATGAAGAAAACTTAAGAGCTACATGGGATGACATCAACAGACATAACATACACCTGATTGGAATTCCAGAACAAGAGGAGGCAAAAAACAAACAAACAAGCAAAAACCACTGAGAAAATTGTTGAAGACTTGCTAACAGAAAACTTCCAATATATCGTGAAAGATGAAAGGATATTCATCCAAGGAACTCAACAAACCCCATACAGGGTAGAACCCAAGAGAAAGTCACCAAGACATTTCATAATCAAACTTTCCAAAACCAAAGACAAAGAAAGAATCTTGAGAAAAGCTTGGGAAAAACAAAATGTAACCTAGAATGGGCAACCAATAAGACTAAGCTCTGATTTTTCAGATTTATTTCTGATAAAATAGGCTTCAAGGTGAAAACCAGCATAAAGGACAAAGGAAGGGCACTATATGATATTAAAAGGGTCAATTGACCAAGAGAACATTACCTCAATAAATATCTGTGCACCCAATGAAATAGTTCCAGAACACATAAGGCAAACATTAACTGAATTGAAAGCAAAAATAGACAATTCTACAATAGTAGTAGGAGACTATAACACACCACTTTCTATGAAGGACATGAAGGACAGAACAACTAGAAAACAACTCAACAAAGATACAGAAGATCTCAACAACACAACCAATCAACTCAACCTCATAGACCATAAGGAGAAACCAAGCGGGCAAGAAGGCAATGGATGGTATATACAAAACCTTGAAGGAAAAGAATTGCCAACCAAGAATTATATATCCAGCCAAAATGTCCCTCAAATATGAGGGTGAAATTAAGACATTCCCAGACAAACAGAAATGAAAGGAATTTGTGAAAACCAGACCAACCCTATAAGAAATGCTAAAGGGAGTCCTTCCAACAGAAAACTCACAACAGAAAACAACCAATTAAAATCAAGACACTTGACATGACCTCCTAGAAACCAACCCAGGAAAAGAATCTCAAAATAAGCTCACAAAAAATGTAAATAGAGAAATAAGGGAGTCAATCTATAAATGACACAAACAATAAAGCAAATAGAGGGAATACATGTTATAATTAAAAAACTTCCAAATGAAGAGGAAGTCAGGACAATGTCTGTATAGAACAGACTGTACCAAACTTAGGGAGACAAGAATTTACTTCAGGGTAACCACAAAGAAAACTAACAATCCTTTTAACAAAATTAAGAAAGAAGAAAATCACAAGGGCTTAATAAACACAAAACCAACAATAATGAAGAAAAGAGAAAAAATACTTGATAACAAACTGAACTCAGCACAGAAAAAAATTTGGAACAAAGAAACCACAAACAACACAACAAAAAGCACAATAGAATGACAGCAATAAATTCATACCTGTCATTAATTACACGGAATGTGAATGGACTAAATGCACCAGTCAAGAGAAAGAAAGTGGCAGATTGGATAAGAAAAGAAGACCCATCAATATGCTGCCTACAAGAGACCCATCTTAGACACAAAGATAAAAATAAATTTAAAATCAAGGGATGGGGGAAAAAAAAATCAACCTAATGGTAGTCATAAAAAAGCAGAAGTGGCAATCTTAATTTCTGATAAAATAGGCTTCAAGGTGAAAACCAGCATAAGGGACAAAGAAGGGAACTATGTGATATTAAAAGGGTCAATTGATCAAGAGGACATTACCTCAATAAATATCTGTGCACCCAATTAAAGAGTTCCAGAACACACAACTGAAACATTAACAGAATTGAAAGAAAAGATAGACAATTCTACAATAGTAGTAGGAGACTTTAACACACCACTTTCTATGAAGGACAGAACAACTAGAAAACAACAAAGATACAGAAGATCTCAACAACACAATCAAGTCAACCTCATAGATGTAAACAGAGCACTCCACCCAACAAAGCACAATATACAGTCTTCTCCAGTGCACATGGATCATTCTCCAGAACAGACCATATGTTAGGCCACAAAACAAGCCTCAAAACAATTAAAAACATTGAACTACTACAAAGCATCTTCTTGGATCACAATGCTATACAATTAGATATCAATAATAGGAAGACCAAGGGAAAAAATAAAATATGTGGAAACTGAATAATACACTGCTCACAAACTACTAGGTAACAGAAGAAATAGAGTGTGAAATAAAAAGATTCCTAGAAACAAATGAGAATGAAAATACAACTTACCAAAACCTTTGGGACACAGTGAAAGCAGTACTCAGAGGTCAATTTATAGCAATGAATGCACACATCAAAAAAGAAAGAAGAATTAAAATCAACACCTTAATTCAACTACTCCAACAATTAGAAAAAGAGCAACAAAAGAAACCTACGTATCCAGAAGAAATGAAATAATAAAGATCAGAGCAGAAATAAGTGAAGCAGAAAACAAAAAAATAATAGAGAAAATGAGCAAGATAAGAAGCTGGTTCTTCAAAAAGATTAACAAAATCGATAAACCACTGGCACATTTAACAAAGGAAAAGAAAGAGAAGATGCAAATAACATGAATAATAAATGAAATGGGTGACATCACAACAGAACCAACTGAAATAGAAAAGATAATTACAGGCTCATGGAGATCCCATGTGTGTCAGAGTAGAACTATGCCCCACAGGGTTTTCCTTCTTTCTTTTTTTCTTATCTACCTGACTCTTTTTATTATCATTATTCTTTCATATAGGGTTTTCAATGGCTGATTCTTTTGAAAGTGGATTGCCAGGCTTTTCTTCCAAGACACTTCTGAGTGGATTCAAACCTCCAACCTTTTGGTTAGCAGCTGAGTACGTTAACTGTTTGTATTACCCAGGGACTCCTAAATTTTAGTACATGATTATACTGTATAAAGAAAAGTCAAGCTTTATAATCTTTCTTGTTCCCCTACTCTTCCCTTTCCATTGAAAATATCTTCATAGGCAATTTACCTTAAGGGCTTGGGTCAAATGCAGCATTTGTAAAAACTCCGTATGTTCCTAGGTGGCTAAAAGAACAGAAACACAAAGAGTGCTTAGTCCCCCAATAACACCAGAAACTGTATACCAAGAACATATCCCCAGAAACCATGGATTACTCCCTCCCCCTAGAATTCTGTTTTAAAAAGGAAGGGAGGGAAGTGTCAAAGTAATTTTTGAGATCTCACTTAACAGTGCTAGATAAATTGCATTACATTGCACACCTTCAGTAAGTTATTGTTGATGCTTTATGTACTGACTATCTGGTATTTCCCTGCAAAGAACAGCAGCCTCTCCTCAGTGAGAGGAGATAGTTATGGAATTGCCAGTCTTGATATTTGATACATGCAATAGTTTCAAAAGGATGGTCAGACCACCCCACCCCCCAGGGCCATTTTTTTGTTTACATGATTATCAGGGGTTCTACTGCATTTCGTTGGTAGGGACTGGGGTGCTGGATGTCCTAAAAATCATTCAACATAAATATTATCCTACACTCCACACAATTTTAATATATCTACTCAATATTCATGTAGGGGAAAAATTTCTAAGCCTAGAATTTAGTTGCGTTACATATAAACATTAAGTATTTTTGCATCTTTTAAAATGTAATTGCCACATAAATTGAGGAACAATTATAACAGGTTTTACAACTCTTTACCAGGGTCGTTAAACATTTTGACAATCAGATTATGTTGACATCACCTCTGATGCTGTCTGAGTCACCAATACCATATCCTCCCCTTGTGGCTGTTGCCATCATATGGATTGTATCAGGGCTTTGAACCAGTTCATTGTGGGCTTGACACCCTGCTGAGAATTTGCCTTTCCACCTCAGATATATTGAGTCAGAATCACATTTTAACAAGATCCCCAAGATGATTCTTAGATCTTACATATGCATAAGAATCACTAGGCATCTTGTTAAAATGTCCATTCTGACTCAGTGTATCTGGGGTGGAAATGCAAATTCTCAGCAGGGGTGGAAACAGAATGTACTGGTTCAAAGCTCTGGATTCTGCCCAGAGGTAGAAGCTTCTATTAATCTGCCAATGATATGCTCAAACTTTGTCCTGTAAATCACTTTCCTTTTACATTAAAATTAGATATTTATTGATATTTTTAAAAATATGTAGTCTATTTTTTAAAATATGTAGCCTATATTTTAAAAAATAGGCTATATTACCTGCATATTTTACTTCATGATAATAAAGGGGACATTGAAAAAGTTTTATTATAAAAAGACAGTGTTGTGTAGAATCATTGTGATCTATTACAGTGACTTCAAAAGTCAAATTTGAAAAATTTACCCAGCCACAAAACATTTCCATCTTACCTTTGAGGATTCAAGGGGCTTTTCCCATCATCTTTAGTAGGTGAGAAGGCACAATGGTTGGTATAAAGCGGGGGGGGGGGGGGAAGGCAAAGAAGAAAGATCAGTGATAGAAATTATTGGGGAAAATCAGTACATTGATTTTGAGATGGCTGATTATAAGGGACATATTGGGGACAGTCTTTGCCTAAGGACCAGAGAGGCAGGGCCTGCTTTGGGCTACATTAAACGTTTGACAACATTTAACTCCAGAATCCTCCCACCTTTTTCCTCCCCACTTTCAGTGAAAACTTCTGTCCTTTCTTCCTCTCTTCCTCTCTCTCTCCCCTCTTTCCTTTCTGTCTTTTTTATTATTATTGTTTAGATCCTTGGTTCTTGCAAACCATTTATTTGGCATTTGAAGGCCCTGTATTGCTGCAACCTGTTTCCCACTTCTTCAGCCATCAGCTGAGCAAGATAATCACATAAACAAATCTGTACCAACACAAAAGTGGATTTTTTCCCTCGAGGGTAACATATGTGATCAGGGGTCTCTTGTCTTAATACAAATGTCAGACTCTAATAAGGGAAACTTTAGACATTGTAGGAGGCCTGCTAATTATCCCATGGGACTATAAAAGGGAGAAAGCATCTCATGGACAAATAAATTTAGAAAATACTAGGTTAAACAAAGATTAGTATATTTATTTATTACAGGACATTATTGAACCTTCAATGTAAGAATGAATGTACATTTTGAATTTTCAGAGAGGAGACATAATATGCAACATTTTCCTTTTATTTGATCATAGAATCCTCGAAGTCTGAAACCCAATTAGGACAGGCTCAGGGAAAATGTCCCATCCCTAACAAATTTATTTATTTTTAAAGACACTGGAGAATGGGTGGCTGCTGCTTTCCTCACTAGTCAGAGGGCTCCCTAGAAATATCTCAAAGCTAAAGAAAGAACTCAGAAGGGGGAGCAAGAATACTGTTACTGCTCCATGAGTATGGGGAATGAGAACTAGGTCTTTGGAGCTCTTGGGATTTGGTCAAGCAAGCACACATTTTGCTTGGAGGGACTGGTTCTATCTCTTAGGACAATTTTTTGGTCTATAAGCAGAGTACTGCCCATTGTCTATTGACCGGGTCAAAGTTCCATCACTCACTCACTGCCATCGAGTTGTTTCTGATTCACAGAAACCCCCCTTGGGTTTCTGAGGCAGTATCTCTACGGAAGTAGATTGCCTAGTCTTTCTTCTGAGGAGTGGCTGCTGGGTTTGAACCTCCAGCCTACTGATTAACAGTCAAATGTTTTAGTCACTACACCACCAAAATTCCCTGGGTGGTGCAAATTGTTAAGCTCTTGACTATTAACTAAAAGGTTAGTGGTTCAAGCCTACCCAGAGATGCCTCAAAAGAAAGTCCTGGTGATCTGCTATCAAAAGGTCATGGCCTTGTAAACCTTATGGAGCAGTTCTACTCTGCACAGATGAGGTTACCATGAGTCAAATTACTTGACCACAACTAACAACAACAGTATTGTGCTAGTCACCTACTCACAGAAGAGTATAAGATGCACTCATTGCCACTGAGTTGATTCTGACTCATAGTGACCCTCTAGGACGGAGTAGAACTGCCCCATAGGGTTTCCAAGGCTGCAAATCTTTACAGAAGATGACTGCCTCATCTTCCTCCCAATGGAGCAGCCGGTGGGTTTGAACTGCCATCCTTTTGGTTAGTAGCTGAATGCCTTCACAACTGTGCCACCAGAACTCTTTGGAGACTATAAGAAGGCACTTTGGAAAAATAGCTTCAGTGCAGTCATTTTTGTGTGTTTGGAGAAAGATAAGTGAACAAGCAGTTCTTCCCCCTGGCAGTTAAGAAAAGGCACTTCATTCTCAATCCAATGAGAACTCTGTTAGGTGTTTTAACATAGCCGCTTCTGATTAACTGGATTTGAGCAACCCTGACCCTTCTGATCCCCTAATTAATTTCCATGAGGAGGCTTAAGGAAGAAGGTCCCCATTAGCTTATAAACTTATAGGCAGGTGAAATGTCTAGAGCAGATAAAGAAAGATGTTTTAAACTTTAAGGGATGGGTTGTTCCCTTCTTTTATCTTAGGCCAAATTCTTTATCTTATGATCAGTCTGACAGATACATCCTTTATGGAGAATCTTCATTTATTTTGTCACTTCCTTGTTTAAATCCTTCATCATCTCCACAGTTTTCAGGAATATGTAGATTCGTTAGCCTGTCACACCAGGTCATTAATAAAACAGCAGTTCCTTACACTTTGTGCTTCATCTTTAGTCTACTCCACAAGCCCCTTTGATTCAGATGCACCAAACTGCTGAATGTACCACTGTCCCAGCTATTTAACTTTCATATTTTTCACAAGCCATTTTTCTCTACTGGAACTCTAATTCCGCTCCCCACCCCCACCCAGACTGCTGAAGTCCTCTCATTCTTCAAAGCTAAGCTCAAAAAAACCTTTTCTGGAAAGAGGTTCTGGATAAGTAATGTATTATTGAGGAAGAAGAACAAAGTATGAGGCCATGCACTACATGATCTCAGAACCTACTGTACAGCCACAGTAGTCAAAACAGCCTGGTATTGGTACACTGACAGACACATAGACCAATGGAATAGAACTGAGAACCTAGAAATAGATCCATCGACCGATGAACAGTTGACCTTTGACAAAGGGCCAACATTGACTAAATAGGAAAGAGACAGTCTCTTTTAAAAATGTTGCTGGCTAAATTGAGAGTCTTTCTGCAGAAAAATTTAACAGGGCTCATACCTCACACCATACATAAAAATGAACCAAAAATGGATCAAAGACCTAAATAATTAAATAAACCTGAAATTAAATAACCTAAATAAACCTATAACCAAAAAGATTATAGAAGAAAAAATAGGGACAACGTTATGAGCACTGATATACGGCAAAAAAAAGAGTACCGAGCATAATTGAAATGCAAACAGCAGAAGATGAACATGATAAATGGGACCCTCCTAAAAATTAAATACTATGTTCATCAAAAGAGTTCTCCAAAAGAGTAAAAAGAGAACCTGAAGACTGAGAAAAAAAAATTGGCTACAACATATCTGACAATGGTTTAATCTCTAAAATCTATAGAAAACAACACTTCAACAGCAAAAAGACAAACAATCCAGTTAAAAAATGGGCAAAGGATATGAACAGACACTTCACCAAAGAAGACATTTAGGCAGCCAACAAACACATGAAGAAATATTTGTGATCTTTAGCCGCTAATACATATATATATATGATAAAATAACTACTGCCATTGAGTTGATTCTGACTCACAGAGAACCTCATTAGGGTTCCAAGGCTGTATATCTTTATGGAAGTAGACAACCTCATCTTCTACCCATGGAGCAGTTGATGGGCTCGAACTACTGATCTTTTGGCTACCAGTCAAATGCCTTACCCACTATACCACCAGAGCTCCTACATTAGCCATTAGACAGATGCAAATCAAAACTATAATGAGATGCCATCTCACCCCAACAATAATGGCACTAATTAAAAAAAACAAAACAAAACAAAACAGAAAATAATAAATGCTGTAGAGGCTGTGGGGAAATTGGAACTCTCTCTATCTCTTTCTTTGGTATTCTTTTCTTATTTATTTATTTATTGACTTTTAAATTGTGATTTGGGTGAAAGTTTATAGAGTAAATTCATTATCCGTTCAACAGTTCATACACATTTTGTTTCATGACATTGACTACAACCCATAACCTAACAGCTCTCTTCCCACTTTCTTCCTGTGGTTACCTTTTCCCTGTGTCCTTCTTTCCTCTGCATTTTTGCCCTCTGAAAGCTATCTCCTGTGCAAATGCTGTCTTTCTGAATAAGGAGAATAGAACTCTTATACACTGTTGGTGGGAATGTAAAATGGTACAACCACTATGGAAAATGGTATGGAACTTCCAGAAAAAACTAGATATACCATAGGACCCAGCAATCCCACTCATAAGTACATACCCTAAAAGACTAAGAGCTGTGACATGGATATACTATGCACACTCATACTCATTGCAGCATTATTCATAATAGCAAAATGATGGAAACAACGGAAGTGCCTATCAATGGATGAATGGATAAACAAACTGTGCATACACACAATGGAATACTATGCAACAACAAAAAATAAGCACAAATCCATGAAACATCTTAACAACATGTATGAATTTGGAGGACATTATGCTGAGTATCCTATGGAGCACAGATCTACTCTGACACACATGGAGTTGCCATTAGTTGGAATCAACTCCATGGCAACTGGTTTGGTTTTTGGTTTATTCTGTGTTCCATGTATATCAAGTTTATATTTTTTGGCCTACCACATTTGCCACAGTTAAGTATTTTTAGCGTTAATTTAACTTGTCTGTCTCCCCTACTAGGTTCTATAGTCCTTGATTTCAGGAACCATAATTTTGGGTCTCCTGTTCCTAACAAAGCAATAAATGAGTTGCATGAAGGAAGGAGTAAGAGAGGGAAACAATACCTTCTCCAGTTAGTTTTTGTGATAACCTAAGGCCACATAGACCAGAGGCTCCCAAATACCAGTCTTAGACCCAGTCTCATGGAAATTTTGGGGGAGGAAAATTCAGACCTCTAAGCATAGTGTCTAAGGCACTTGACTGCTAACCAGAAGGCTGGTGGTTCAAACCCACCAGCCATGCCTCGGAAGAAAGATTGGACAATCTACTTCCATAGTGATACTGCCTCAGAAACCCAGGAGGAGTCGCTATGAGTCAGGTCCAACTCGACAGCACACAACAAGAACAACAAGTCCATTTCCAGAAGTCCCTGTACAAAGATATGAATTTTTATAAAGTTCCCCAGGTGATTCTGATGGGCATCCAGTTCTCAAAACTACTTGTCTTAGCCTGGTTTTCTTTTAATGCAAATGTTTTCATACATAAACTACTGAAGTTAAGGTTAAAACCACCCACCTCAAGTCACATAAAAGATAAAATACAGAGAAGACTCTTTTCTTATTTACCTTTTTGTTTGAAACGTTTTCTTAGCAAAGCCAGGAGTGTCCCACCTATCAAGAGAGCAGTTACAGAAACCACGGCTCCACCGAAATAAGTCAGGGCTTCCTGGGCAGTCAATGGCCCTGCTGCAAAACAAACATAGACCCATGAAACATGAAAAGTGTATTGTACAGAAGAGCAGACACTCTCCTAGAAGGGTCCAAAGAACTCTAAGACGTGAACTCAAATAAGGTCATTAATGCAACCAAGCACCAGAGAATGAATATCTGGAGGTGATAAAATCACTGCAACAGAAGAGAAGTAGGACCCAGTTTTGTCCCTAAGGCTTAAGTATCAAATGTAATTTCCAAAGGCGTCAGGGTAGAGACTTCATAAAAATAATTAAATGATAGAATAAATGGAAGTGTGAGCAAATAAACTCAACCACGAGTCATTTTTTTGGCATTTGAATATAAAGTTAAGCAACAAAAAGAAGTCATAAGCTACTAGTGGGAAAATGAGAGAGGTAAAAAGGGGATGAAATAAACCTTACAAAAGGATACAGTTTAATTAAGGAAAATCTCTGGTATTTGCAGAGATATATGGTAATTAAAGGTCTTCTATGATAATAAATTAGGACTATGCATGAGGTTGTCTCTTCACTTTAAGACATTCTGAAACTCCAATATGTATTAAAAATGCATTATTAAGGAAATGAGCAGTGATTGTCTACACAGAGTCACTGAATTTAATTCCCACCTCTTTGTATAAGGTAAAGAGATTCAGCTTGACTCATTGTGAAATGAATATTAAGTGCAGGGGAAACCCAGTGATGGAAAGTGAGACTGCTGTCAGAGACACAGAGAAGAAACACTGATTTGTTATGTCCAATATCAAGGTGACTTTCTACCAATATGAAAAATATACCTTGACAGGTTGGCACTGTAGTAGACCAGTGACCATTCTCTTGGCATGCTGTTCTTGCTGGGCCATTAAGTAATTGACCCTCTGGACAATGGAAGGTACAGGTTGATCCATAGCTGAAATTTTCCCAGGGGTTGGAGCAGTTCATCACTATTGGCTTAATAATGTGCAGCTCAGAGCATTTGACAGCTGCAGAAAAAAAGGACGCAGGAAAAACAGACATATAAAATGAAAGTACAAAGAGTATGGTTTCATTTATAACCTGGTTATTAGCACTAGTGGATGAAGCAGAATGTAAATGGTCAGAAAGGAAATGAGTCACTTCTGCCATTCACTGTATGGTGGAAGCTAACATCACACATGCTAAAATATCCACTCAAAGAATGATATTCCAAAGAACAAGGACAGGCACAGAGTTGTTGTAAGGTGCCACTGAGTTGGCTCTGACTCATAGTGACCCTATGTACAACAGAACGAAACACTGCCTGTCCTGTGCCAGCTTGACAATCCTTGCTATACCTGAGCCCATCACCGCAGCCACTGTGTCAATCCATCTTGTTGAGAGCCTTCCTCTCTTTTGTTGACCCTCCACTTTACCAAGCATGATATCCTTCTCCAGAGAATGGTCTCTTCTGACAACATGACCAAAGTAGGTGAGACAAAGTCTGGCCATCCTGGCTTCCAAGGAACATTCTGGCTGCACCTCGTCCAGGGCAGATTTTTTTTCATTCTTCTGGCAGCTCATGGTACTTTCAGTATTCTTTACCAGAAACACAACTCAAAAGTATCAACTCTTCTTTGGTCTTCCTTATTCATTATCCAGCTTTCACATGCATATGAGGCTTGAAAACACCATGGCTTGGGATAAGTGCACATTAGTCTTCAAAGAAACATCTTTGCTCTTCAGCACTTTAAAGTGGTCTTTTGTAGCAGATTTTCCCAGTGCATCTGTGGTCTGATGTCTTGACTGCTGCTTCCATTGGTGTTGATTTTGAAACCAACTAATATGAAATCTTTGACAACTTTAATATTTTCTCCATTTATCATGATGAGCCTCGTTGGTCCAGTTGTGAGGATTTTAATTTTCTTTTTGTTGAAGTGTAATCCATACTGCAGACTGTAGTTTTTAATCTTCATCAGTAAGTGTTTCAAGTCATCCTCACCTTCAGCAAGAGAAGTTGTGTTGTCTGCACATCACAGGTTGTTAATGAGTCTTGCTTCAATCTGATGCCATATTCTTCTTCATTTAGTCCAGCTTCTCAGATTATTTGCTCAACATACAGATTGAATAAATATGGTGAAATGATACAACACTGATACACTCCTTTCCTGATTTTAAACCATGCAATATCCCCTTCTTCAGTTCAAATGACAGCCAGCCTCCTGCTCTATGTACAGGTTCTTCATGAGCACAATTAAGTGTTCTGGAATTTCCATTCTTCTCAATGTTTATCCATAATTTGTAATGATCCATACAGTACACATAGTAGCATCCAGTAAGTACCTGCTGATGGGTTGCTCAATTTTGTTTCCAAAAAATTTTATTTACAAAATTTTGCTTCTTGAAAATACTGCTTTACATGTTAATATTGTTATCAATGCCAAGTAGCAACTATCTGATACATATTCATGTGCTTATTCAAGTGCTTAAGTGTTCTATTGGCTGGACTCTTAGAAGTTTGAAAAGAAGTAGAAGCCATCATTTCTTTTAAACTATTTTTTAGAAACTTTAAATCATTTTTCCCATTGTATGAGTACTAATGCTCAGGAAATAAGCATTATTGAGTAATGACATTTGCAAAGCACATGAATCTTTTGTCGGGATATAAAAATGAATAAAACAGAGGTCTCAATGCTTCATGTATAGGATGATAGCTCTTCAGGAGGTATCATAAATGGTTTATCTTTTTATTTAGGTTTCACTGACTATATATATATATATATATATATATATATATATATATATATATATGTATGTATATATAAACAACATGGGATATATACACTGTCACCTAATTAATAGAACTGCAACTTGCATTTCACAATTCATATGGCTGTTTCAAAATTTAGCAGGTTACATTTCAAAATGTAGCAGACTCATTGTTCTAACACATTTTGGACATTTTAAAAGGTTTTCTCCTTTGTGCTTTTGGATACCAGGGCATTATTAGCTTGTGACATAAGAAAGGTGAGAGGCAATGTGTCTGCTGCACAAGGCTTCTGACTGGGGTTCTTAGGGACAGTGGATTGGTGTGGATTTCAAGAAGGAGCTGACAGTTTGAGTTGTTGGGCTGTGGTGGGATTTCAATAGGCAGACATAATGGTTAGTTTGAGTGTCTGCAGAGAGGCAGCGTTAGAACTGCCTGCTTTGTACATTACCTCTGCACATTGGAACTACTGCTGTCCATTGTCCTGAAGGTCTGCATTGGAGAGCGCTTTCTCCTGTGAGTGTGAACCCAGCATCACATCCAAAGTAGCAAGTGGTATTCAAACCAAAGGTTCCCAGCTCATGATTGCAAGACATTGTTCCCTGCCCAGGAGGGATGAGGGCTGGGCATTGCATCTCTGAAGGAGGAGCTGATGCCATACCTGTTGTGAGAAAATGTGTTGATTTAGGGAATCCACAATTAAAATCAACAATATAGAGTTAAGGCTTCCATTCTTTTCATAATGAGGAGTCTTTAGCAATATATCCTTGAGGAAGAGATTTCTCCTAAAGGAAAAAATATTAATTTCATGTATGTAAAATAAAACAAGATGAAGAAAATTATTTAAAAGACTGCTTAGATGATTCTCCTGATCAGAAGAAGAAACTGAGGTATCAATGTTATTGATATTTTTAAAAAGCAGAAGAATCGGTGCAGGAATACAAGAAATCCAATAGAAAAACAAGTATGCTTGAGCAGATTGCCTGTTCATCTTATTGGGTGGTGGGCTTGTCCTGTGGCCGAAACCTAGCAAGACACGTGAGATGTGAATGATGCCACTGGCTCTATCACTAACTTGCCCTGTGGAAGGAAGACATTGGCAGACCTCTTTGCTCCACAAGTCCTCAATTTAAAAAACTGGGCCAGTGACTTCACCCCTTATATTATTTACTGGAAATGAAGTAATGGAGACCATTAACTGGACTCAAAACAGCTTTTTGAGAGAAAGAGGTCAAAATATGAAACACAATTTTTGCTTAAGAAACAGTATGTCTTTTACTTACAAACATAAACATTCTGTCACTCCTTGTAACTGCTTTTAATCTATAGCCTGTGTTCCTTAGACCCAATAGATGACCCATTTCATAACTGGAAGTAGTGTTTTCCCAATAATAATAAAAATAATAATATAATGTGTGCCATTACATAGTAAGAGTTATGTAAGTGTTTGTTCTTATTGTAGAAGAATTTCTACTGTCCATTTTCTAGAAGTTGTGCATTCAACATTCACAGACCCTTTCAGCTTAAAGTCCTTGCTACAGGAGAAATGGCAGGTGGAGCGAACATTGAATTCCCTATGGGTGTCAAAACAATCTATGCTGCCCCATTCTGGGGGAAACAACTCTGGACGCCTGATAGCTGAAGGATTAAATCAAGAGTGTCATAATCTTCAAGTTAATTCAGAAGTCCTATTCATAATTCACTCATTTATTCAACAAATATTTATTGAGCACCTACTCCATGCCTGGTCTTTTGCTAAGCAACAGGCATGCCACAACAAATAAGACAAGCCATTTGCTGCAGAGGGGCATGATAGTAGGCTTGCAGAGAATAGTGAGGTAGAAGTCACAGACATAAGAAAGTCAAAGATTTAAGCAGTCAACTCAAGAATTTGCATTTCTGTTCTCTTTTCTCCATGCTTTCTACTTCAGAGACTTCATAACCTCCCACTACTAGTGTATCTCAGTGTGTGTAGTTCATGGTTTCATTTCTGCCCCTCCTGCTGAGACCACCTCCTCTTGGATATCTGGCCATCTCTTCAAATTCAACAGGTCTATAACTTCAATCATCATCTGTCCCAAATTCTTTTCTCCACTCAAATCCTAGGCTGTGTTTTTAGACCACAATTACCCAGCATGGGAATGTTCAAAATGCTCTGTCTAGCTAGATTAACAACAACAACAACAAAAAAAAACTCACTACAGTCGAGGGGAATCCAATACACAGAGACCCCTCCTTGGGTTTCCAAGGCAGTATCTCTACAGAAGTAGATTGCCCAATCTTCCTTCCGAGGAGTGGCTATTGGATTTGAACCTCCAGTCTTCTGGTTAGCAGTCAAATGCTTTAGGCACTATGCCAGCTAGATTAGTCCCTGGGAATTCTCTGAACTGCCTTCTTGTGTTCTTGTGTTCTTGTGTTCTTGTGTCTTGTTCTCGGCCCACACTACCCTGAATTTCTTTCCATTTCCACTCACTAGAGTCCCACCTACCCTCCAGGATCCAACTCAACACAGAGTCTCTGAAGCCTCTGCTAATCATACAGCCTGAAGTCGTCTTCTTCTCTGAACCCTTCAACTTTTTGTTGAACCCATATCAACAAAAATATGATGCTGTGATATCACACATCATGTGATATCATACATCAAGATATTCCATGTGATATGACAGCTGTCATATCACATGACATATCTTCCCTTTTTATGGAGAGCTTCTAAAGCCCACAAACCATAAATCTTTGCATCTCCCATAATTCACTCTACAGTATCTCATGGGATGGTGATAAATAACAACTTGCCAAGTATATGAATGATTTTTTTAAAAAATTTAACCATAACTTGCTCCAGAAGTTCTTTTTATAAATTTTTGCAGTTCCATATTTTTCTAGAATTATGTCTGTACTTTATCCCCATTAGATTCTATGACATGAAGCTATTATTTATTAACAAATATTGGGTTATTGACAAATTGAGTGGCAATTTTATCTTCAAATCCAAAGCTATTCTGAAAGCAATAACTTCAATAACTTGGTCAGGTAAAGTTCACTTTGCTCAGACAGATAGATAGATAGATATAACATAGTCCACAAAGATATTATTCTACATCCTACTTTGGTGAGTAGTGCATGAGTTCTTAAAAGCTTGCAAGTGGCCATGTAAGGTACAACTAGTCTCCTAATCCAGAGCAAAGAAGAGTGAAGAAAATCAAAGAGACATGGAAACAATTAGTCTAAGGGACCAGTGGACCACATGAATCTCAATCTCTAGACCCTGGAGACTAGAAGAACTAGATGGTGCCTGGCTATTGCTTTAAAAGGGATCACAATATGAAGTGTTTGATAGACTGGGAGAAAAATGTGGAACAAAACTCAAAATCATATATAAAAAATGCCTAGCTTCTGGTCTGATAGAGACTGGTGGAATCCCTGAGACTATGGCCCTTAATCACCTGGAAATGAACTCACTCCTATGGTTTAATTTTCAGCTAAACAATAGACAAGACTTGAGGTGAACAATAACACCAGGTAGGTATACATTCCTTAGAATAATCAACCATAAGAGATCAAAAGGGCAGCATTTGCCTAGGGATAAAGCTCAGAGGCAAGAATGGATAGGACAGAATGACAGAAGGAAATGGTAACAACAAAGAGGAGGTGGGCAGAGTGCTGTTATATTATAAGGATTGCAATCAATGTCACAAAACAAAATATGTATGAACTGTTGAATGGAAAACAAATTTGCTCCGTATACCTTCATACAATTCACAATAAAAAAGTCATATATAAAAATAACTTTTGGGGAAGAAGATATATAATAACTGAAACTATTCTAACTGTTCTAAACTCAAGCTTCATACTAAAGACTAGGAAACCCCATGGAGTCACAGCATGTTGAAGGAGTGGAGAAAACAACAGAGATGTACATGATTTGGGCCACAGCTTGGAGGACACCATTTTGTCATATTTTATCACTTGGGTGAGCAAGTACTGGGCAGAAGGGTAGAACTGGGGTTGAGACTTGGAACCAGAACTGGGTGAGGCTAGAAGTTAGGAGATGGGTCCACCTTTCAAACATGATCTACAGAAAGTCAATGACAGACAATATTAAGGGACTTGGAGAATAGTATTCTGAGTCAGGATAGTGGACCACCAACCAGTGGAGGTAGGGGGACTCACCACAGTGACTGGATAAAAGCAAGCTGGCATGAAGATAGCACCATGATAGTCAGTAGAAGGCCCTTAGTCACTGCTTTGGTTCAAGGAAAGGACTTCAGGTCTTAGAGGGCAAAGGCAAGAAAGAAACCATGTCACAGAAAGTCCAGGCAACTGGCATTCCAAGTGAAAAGGAACTGTCTGTGAAACCACCACAGAAATAAAACCTGGAATTGCACTCTGAAGAGGATGGTTTAGAGTTCCACCTGCTACACTGCCCTTGCTGACTTGGTAGCCCCTGAATGTTTTTGATGTACATGAGGACTCTGCAAAGCACAATATGAAAATCAGTGGCCTAAAGGTAGTACTGAATGGTTTAAGATTCGTAGACTCATAGAACAAAAAGAGAAATTAGGTATATTTGCCTATATTTAGAACATCAATTTGGAGGATAAGGTAGAAACACAGTTCTAGAGCTGAAGATCAGGGTCAGACAAGGCTGCTCATTGTGAGGCCCTGTTCAAAGTTGGACTGGAGGGGGCTGGGCCTGCAAGATGAGAGGAATATTCTTCTAATTGTGGAGAAAAGAGGGCTAGGAAGGAGTGAGTGAGACCAGGCGCTTGACAGATTACAGATTTAACACTCATGTTCATTGTATATATGGTTTAAAACATTAGTGAGATTTTTTAAAAAGGGGATTCTTGATTCTTTACCCTTAAAATGGAATGTGTAAAAACAGAGATCATGATAAAAGTTTATGGAATAAATGAATGACTGTGTAAGAAATAAATGAACTGAAACACAGGCCCTAATTCTATCATCCACTGCTCAGATGGCTTCCAGTGTACCTTTTGACAGTTGTTAGGTGCCGTCAAGTCAGCTCCGACTGATAGTAACCCTGTGTACAACAGAACAAAACACTGCCCTGTCCTGCGCCATCCTCACAATCCTTGCTATGTTTGAGCCCATCATCACAGCCACTATATCATTCCATTTCATTGAGGGTCTTTACCTTTTTTGCTGACCCTCTGCTTTACTAAGCATGACATCCTTCTCCAGGGAATAATCCCTTCTGACAACATGATTAAAGAAGGTGAGACAAAGTTTGGCCATTCTTCCTTTCAAGGAGCATTCTGGCTGCACTTTTACCAGGACAGATTTATTCATTCTCCTGGCAGTCCATGATTATCTATCTATCTATCAGTCGGGTTTGACTCCACGGCACATAACAACAACAACAACAACAATCTATCTATCTATCATCTATCTATTTATTTTTGACAGTAGATGGTAGCATTTGTGCTCTTTAATCTACATTATTCTTGGCAGAGGGAGAATCTTACCCCTCTCCTTTTGGAATTAAGAAAACTGAAGGCCACATGTGTGAAGTGGAGAAACTGAGAAGAACAGGGCAGATCTTTGAATATGAATTCAGTTCTTTATTCCACAGGAAGTGATAGCTGTTTTTCATTAGCATTAGTAGAGTTCTATGAATATGTTCCCTCATCTGATAACCAGATACTGCCATTTCTCAAGTACATTTCAGAGATAGTGGAAGAGTAGATTTACAAGTGACTGAGCCACTTCATGGGAGAAAGATATAACAGTCTGCTTCTGTAAGGCTTTATAGCCTTGGAAACTCCACAGGGGAAGCTCTACTCTGTCCTGTAGGGTTGCTGAGTCAAATCCACTGAGTTGGGTTTGGTTTTTGAGCTGAGATTTAGAAGCACTGCCACAAGGTGGCAGTGTAGCATAGTGGTTGAAAAGAAAACAGCCTTGTAGTCAGACTTATGGAGCCCTGGTGGTGCAGTGGTTAAGGCTCTCTTGCTAACTGAAAACTCAGCTATCTGATCCTCCAGCAGCTCTATGGGAAAAAGATGTGGCAGTCTCCTGTAAAGATTTACAGCCTTGGAAATCCTATGGGACAGTGCTACTCTGTCCTTGTACTATGAGTAGGAATCAATTTGACAGCAGTGGGTATAGTCAGACTTAAGGAGCTCTGTTGGTGCGGTGGTTGAATGGCTGCTAACCAAAAGGTTGGTGGTCCAAATCCACCAGCTACTCTGTGGGAGAAAGATGTGGAAGTCTACTCCCATAAAGATTATAGCCTTGGAATCCCTATGGGGCAGTTCTGCTCTGTCCTACAGGGTTACTATGAGTCAGAATTGACATGATGGCAATGGGTTTGGCTTTTAGTTTTTATAGTCAGACTTCCGTTTTTCAAAGGTGGCTGGGTAGATTGAACTGTCAACCTTTTGGTTAACAGCCAATCGTGTTTACTTTTTGCACCACCCAGGGAACTGACCCATCAAAGCATTGAATCAGCCCATCAAAGTGCCCATCAAATCAGCAATTGCAAACCCTATGTAGCGCAGTTCTACTGTGACAAACATGGGGTCACCATGAATCAAAGTCTACTCAAAGATGGTGGTGGATAGATTGGGCTTGGAATCATGGCTCCACTACTTCCTAGCTGTGACCTTTGCTACCTA